TATTTATAAAAATTTCTTTGAGCTAAATCTTATTTTAAAATGATGCAATAAGAAATATGCACTACTGCAAAGATCCTGACATTATTTGGAAACTTTCTGCCACGATGATTTTGTCTCAGGAGAAATTAGAGAATTCCATAAAATCACCTAGGCATAATTTATAGAAAGCTGAGTCAAGAAACAGGTGTTATTGTTGAAATGATGAACTTGTCCTCTTCCTCACTCATAAATTTCTAGGAAATGAGCCCATAAACTCTAAATCAGATGCTAAGCTCACATAGATTTATGTCATTTATTTCCTTTCACTGAGAAAATGAAGAGGTAGATGATCTATGTTTATCTTGCCAGCTGTTCCACAAACCACATACATTGAGTGCAAGTATCAGCAGAGATGCCAATGCTTCAGTGGCTCCAACTTACACATGTCCCAGCACCTGGCTGATGGAAGCCACTCTTGAAAAATATTTGCATCTGTGTGCTATGAGCCTGGCCATAATGCTAGCTAGCATTCCATTTCCAGATGGCTCCCATTACCACCTAATTATTTTAAACTCTGATTTTATTTCAAACAATTTACCATTGTCAAGGGTCACCTTCCAGTATAATATTGCTGAGATCAAATATTTTTGGTTCTAGGTCTACGGTTACGAGAGTTCAGGAAGGGCCTTTTTTAGAGTGATTGATAGACCATTCAGCAAAATCCATGGATAAGCTATAATTCAAATATTAAAATTTTAATAAAACTATATGTAATTTTATAACAATTATTCACAGTCACAACTATCATTTATTTTGTTTTAAATTTCTGTCCTGATAAACAAGTTGGAAAGAACCAAATAAATCTATTCATTCATTTACTTATTCATTTATCAATTCTTCTGATACTTGTTGAGGGCATATTATGTGCCTCAAGAAAATGAAAAAAAAAAAAACAGATGGACTCTTCCTCTCAAATAATTTGCACTGTAGTAGCAAAGGAGAAAACTGTGACTTATTGTCAAAACCTTGTAAAAATAAATGCAGAAAAGCAATATGTATTAAATGACAAGAACTGAAGAAAGTTCTGAAGATTTTTATCTCCTTTACATTTTTAGGTTATCTTTTCTAGTCCTGTTATTGATTGGAGCTATATGGATTTGAGGAAAAGAAAGTAAGTCTGAGTTTGGAATTGGATACAACTCATTAGTTTGATCAATTCTTTTTATTATTTTTAAGTTTCAATTTATTATAAGACATAGCACACTCATACAATTAACACATTCTGCATTCTGTAGGGATGTTGTTTACCTAGTTTTGTCCACTTTGGGCACCAGTTGTTAGATCTAAAAGCCAGAGTAAAACTAGCACAATTACATATGTTGTGTTTATACAATGCACATATGCTGTAGCTTGAGGGATTTTTTTTTTTTAACATAAATTTAAGAAGGCTTCAAAAGAATTTGTTGAAAATGATTAAACCTAAACTCTAAAATGAGAGTTTATGTATATTTAAATATGTGGGAAGACTGGGGGCAAGGGAGTGTAAATGTGTGAGCATATTTTTCATAAAAGTTTTGGACCACTATTAATTTTTTCATATTTGGGGATTCTCTTCTTTGTATCTCACGCTACTCTTTCCTAGACCATTTTACTTAAGAGTATTTGCATTAAAGATCTTCCAAAATACTCTCTTTGCTTTTGTAGTTGCTTAAAGTACATTCTACTTTCTGAGTCTTCATCAGTTAGTTGTTTTCTGTGGAAGGTGTCATTTCCCTCTGATGGAATCTGTAAAGTGTCCTTGTGTTATTCCCTATACGTGCTCTGTGCCCCCTCCTCTCACCTGAGCACTCTAATTCTTACTCTCTTGCCTGTGCTCCCTCTGGCCACATAAGCCCATGGCTACAGAAGTAGGATAAGGACAATTTAAAATGCCTTTTAACCTGGAAGTGTAATTTCCTGGATCCCCCAAGGTGCAGAATCATGATGCTACCTGTGTAACATATTAGGTATTTCTGGAGATAATGGCTCAGGAGAATTACTAATTAATCACTTCACATCAATTATCGTAAGGGTTACATTATCGTATACAATTGTTATTTCTCTCTGCATGTTATCATGAAGAAAAATATCAATTTTGACATGTTATTATTTTAAAAGTTGATGTTATTTCTATATAATTAAGACACTAACCTCTCAACTAGATTGCTGACTGCTATGTCTCACAATATCAATGAACCCCTGGAGAGCATGCACTGAGCTATGCCATAGCATAGTGCTCTGTTCTTTGTTATTATTATAATTCAGTGACTTAAATCAAGAACTATATGTTCTGTGTTTGTCTTAAGTTATATTATAGTATTAATTTGTTTTGTGAACTTAGAACTGTTCCTACATACATAAGTTTATTCATTTAACCAATAAGAATAATTTCATATATAATAATCAGCTGATCCTCACATACTTTGAAATTTTTTAATAATCACAAGTTATCACTGATATTCTACACTATTTATAGAAGATTCACATTCCAACTAGACAGTCTATGTTGATCTTTAGAAAGAATAATTCCTTCTTTTCAGAAAGTTAATTTATGGGCCTCTGCACCACAATGAAGATGTCATTGAATCAAGACTTGAAGTATAGCTTAGCTCAATATGTTCTCCCTAATCAAGTCTGAATTTTTTGCAGAAGTTGCTTAATTCTGTGGAAGTGAAAGACCTTTATTGTGGATTTCCTCTGGGTAAAAGCAATTTGTCAATAAACAGTAGTGTCTACTCACGTTTCTCTTGTTCTGCTTCCACCCCTTCACTTTCTGTGTCACTTGGCAAGATCCACGGTTGATGAACTACTTGTAGTTGCTTTAAGGATTCATCCTGCCAAAGAAGAGATTTCTTTTAGATTAAACTCTATTTTGATATCATGAACATTAATATGGGTGATCACTTCAGTCTCCATGAATTGCGTGTTCAAAAACCATGGGAATAATTTCCCCACAATAAAGAACTCTAAGTTTAAATTAATTTTCATGTCATAGACATGTTGCAAACTCTGAACTCATTTTTTTTACATTCTTCTTTTAATGAGATCTGGAGTCTTAATAAGAAATAGCTAAACTATGTTCCTCCTGAATTAATATTTTTATAGCCATGTTGACATTCACTCTTGGGAATATAATCATGAAGTATTCAACATAAAATTGCATAACATGTCCTTCTTTGCTATCAAGGTTTCAAATTCCCTTTAATGAGAATGAAGATTAGTAGGATTTAGAGAACATCTTCAATTTTACCCTCATTACTACTTTGCTGCCTCCTTCCTCTTCTCATTTTCTCACTCTTGTTAAAATAGTTCTCACATACTTCCTTGCCGCTCTTTGCCTTCTGTCACTGACCTAAAGCAGACCCTCATCCCCCATTCTAACTGTAGTAATAGACATCTAGGAAGTTTTCTAGGATCGAGTTTCATACCTCCTCTAACTCTCCCACCAGTCACCTGCCAGAGTGAGCTTTTTAAGATGTTGTATGATACAATCATTACCTTGCTCATAATCCTTCAGTGGCTCTTTCATTATTCTCAGGATGAAATTTAAACTCAAGACCTTTCATGATCCATACTTATCTAGCCTGATCTATCACACATCTCCTCTTTGACCACTCCAACTATATTAAATGGTAGCTCCTTTATTTTATCATACTCTCTAATCCTCCAAGATGTTTTACAGTGCATTTCCTTATCTGTCTTAAACATTAACACTCCTCCTCCAAGGATCAGGGATTACCTCTACTGGAAGCTTTCTCTGATCCTCTAAGGCAAAATTACTCCTCTATTCATTTATGTCCCCATTGTACCCATGTAATAATTACTGTATAATAATTATCCTTTCTTATCTTCCTACTTCAATAATAACATAGATTCTCAGCATCTGTTATAGTACCTGGCACAAAATAGAGACCCATCATGTAAACATTTGTATAGGAAGAAGTAAGGAAGAAGACAAGAGAGAGAGGATGAAGTGTAGAAAGGAAGGAT